GACAGGCTGTTAGTGTTGAAGGAAGTTGCTTCTATTTAAAAGTTCTTTATGAACGTCTCTCCAAACCTGCAGATTTCATCTTCTTGCCATAATGCAGCATACGGAACAAATATATGATGTACGTCTCTGTCCGCGCAAGCCAATTCATTTCCCATTCACATACGAAATGAAAACGTACAATGGCAGCTGGGACCCTTCTGCTTACATGCTGTTTAAAACACACACACACACACACACATATTAGTTCTTTGCCCACTGGGACATTGCTGACCAATGATAACCAACAGCTGTTCGTGATACCAAAACAAACATTTTGGTGATAGATAGATAAATAAAAAATAAAATAAAATAAAAACATTTAGTTGCCTTGCTGTGCACTGTAAAAATGAATATGCTTTATCTAATCAAAAAAAATTTGTGGCAACAGATTACAAGCAATATTATTAATTAAATTTAACAAATTAGAATTGAGTAATAATTAATCAAATGAATTCCTTAAAAGTTAACCATTTAAAATGAGTAAAATTTACAACAACAACCAAAAAAACATAAATTGAAGTCACCATTATGGTGATCGGTGTTTGTTTTAAAAGGATTCTGCTTGTTAACATCAGGTGTCTTCAATGTTGCCAATATAAAATAAAGAGTTCTCAATTAATCTTTGACGTCTGTCTGTTAGTGAGATATTTTTGATACATTTTTTGGTGTAAACTTTACTCATTTTAAATGGTTAACTTTTAAGGAATAATTTGATTAATAATTACTCAATTCTAATTTGTTAAATTTAATTAATTATATTGCTTGTAATCTGTTGCCACAATTATATTGATTAGATAAAGCATATTAATTTTTACAGTGTGTAGGATATGCCCGGGATTCATTATATAACAAATAAATAAGCATGCACATAAAACGATTTCCCCCAATTATGCACGTTACGTGTTTAAATGACTTCATTAGCAGATCCGATTCTGATCTTCATTAAGAATTTGCTCTTGAGATGCTGTTTGCTTAGTGGTTAATTTGTTTTTATATTTGGAAATAAATTTTGCCAGGTTAAAAGCCCCTGATGCTTATATTTCTTGTTTTACACTCCAGCCTCTGGGTATTTGCCTGATGCATTATACAAGGATGTGTTGAACTCTGGGCCTAATTAAAATAACACCAAAAGAAGCCCTGATGATTCATTCGACTACTAAATTGCACCACAGATATATTATCAGCATTTGCTTTGCCATATGCAAGAGAAACAATATCATGACTGGAGGTGGCATCTTTTGTCTATCTATAGGGCCAGTAAACAACTATCCACATTGCAATACCTGTCTTCTGACGGGGAGGCAGCACTCGTTTTTTCGTCTGAAAACGCGTTAGCCAAACTAAAGTGTTAGCCAAAAAAAAAAAAAAAAAACAATGTAACTTTGAGTGTGTAAGTCATGGACTTTAGCAGCTTTTGTGTTTTCTCCGGTTGTTTTGCTCTCGAGTCCAGTGAAGAACAGACCTGTCTGTCAAGCCCACGCGCTCTACGGGAACAGGGAGATGTGGGCGAGTGGTGAACGGTGCAGCTATTTTAGACGTAAAGGCTCCCTCCTCCTTTCTGAAGCGCTCTTTCATCCCTGATATGGACATAAAGGGGCTTCTCCTCTCCTGTGACAGAAGATGGGGAGCAGAATAGCTCTATGTTTATGACATTCCTCAGCCAACCGGTGACAGTCCAAGTATAAACTTTCCTGAACAGAACAGGAAAGCAGCTCTGCCTCAGAGTCTTAAAGGGATAGTGTCATCATTTACTCACTCGCATGTAGTTCCGAAACTGTGAGTTTCTGTCATTCGTCGAACACAGAAGGCAGAACTTTACAGACAGTTACCATTTATTTTCATTCAACTTTTTTCTTCCACAAATCTCTCACTTCTCAACCACTCCTTGTCTATGGAGGGATTATTGCGTCAAATTGAAAACTAAAAGTCTAAAACTAAAAGTCTAAATTTGAAACTAAAAGTCTAAGTCGAAAGTCGAAAATGAATTTGGTATTTAGGATTGGGTATTTGGTTATTTAGCCATTGAGGATTTAGCATTGGGAATTATGCATATGCAAATAAGGAGGCGTGGCTCAAATACTGGAGGCTGGGTTTGAAATGGCCTGGTGCGCAGAGGCACCTTATGGACAGCAGAGGGTGCTCCCAGTGCTAAGGAGCACACTGTAATGAAACTAAACAGAGCGAGTACTGTCCTTTATAATGTGATCATTTCAACTTAATGATAGCGTTGTAACATGTATGTGGCCTCACACACAAAGTCACCCGTGAAAGGAGGGCTATCGGTCTGACGACGAGAAAGCACGTTCGATGTTGGTAAAATGGACGTGGGGAAGGTGTTGGTCGGGGAAGAAGCCTGTCCACCATTACTGGAAGCCTTTTCTTTGTCCAAAACGTCCAGCGCCTGTCTCAACAAAGATCTGGCTTTGCCATTGTTAATATGGCAGCCAACGTAGATGGCAGAGGAAGACAACTTTCACTTTGAAGAAGACGCTTTGCCAGTGTGCTCCTTAGCGCTGGGAGCGCCCTCTGCTGTCCAGCCATTTCAAACCCAGCCTCCAGTATTTGGGCCACGCCTCCTTATTTGCATACACTCCTCAATCCTCAAATGCCCAATCCTTAATACCAAATTCACAATTAATCCCTAAATGCCCAATCCTAAATGCCTAAATGCCCAATCCTAAATACCAAATGCCCAATCCTAAATACCAAATTCCTAATCAATCCCTAAATGCCCAATATCCTCAATGGCTAAATGACCAGATGCCCATTCCTAAATACCAAATACCTAATCAATCCCTATATGCCCAATCCTCAATGGCTAAATGACCAAATGCCCAATCCTACATACCAAATACCTAATACTCTTACAAAAAAAAAAAAAAAAAAAAAAGTGTTTTTGAATTTTGAACAATTAATCAAAGAATCCTGAAAAATATCATGGTCTCCACAAAAATATTGATATAACTGCCTTATATTTTTGATTACAATCAATTTGGATGTTGAAGTCATTTCAACTTACATGCATTAAATTGACTTAAAAAGAGTTGAATCTTGTATAACTTATAAAAAGAGTTGAAAATTGCTTTACTTAGTTGAGTTAAAGCAAATTACAGTTAATAGTGTATTAGATTAATTTCTGAAGGATCATGTGACGACTGACAGGTATACATCACATTATTAAAAATATAGCCTCTTTAAAATAAAACCTTGAAAATTTGAATATGAGCATAAGAGAGACATAAACAGTTCTTAACGACCCCAAATAAAAATGCACACAGCAGATGCTGTTCATGTGTTCTGCATCGGTGTGTCTGAGCTTTGCAGGTTCCAGTCTGATTGCAGACTCAGCCTCCTGTCAGCCATTGTATTGGCCGAAGACTCTTCTTCACTATCCAGCTGCCGGTCCCTTCTGTTCCCCTCCTCCTCTGAGCAGAGCCCATCCCCCCCGCCACCCCTCCTCCGCTCCATATATTCATCTCCCCACCACTAAAAAGGAATTATGTCTCTCTCTACCTTTTTTTTTTTTATCCTACTTGGGATGAGTGCTTGTAAAGGGACTTTTTGGAAATAAGGAAATTGCTCTACCTCTTATAGAACATCTTAAACTTCTTTACACCTATTTGCAAATCCAGTGTTGTTAAAGATAATAAGAAGCATTTGGAAAGTGTGATCTTGCATTTTAGGATTGGTTTATGGCAGAATTTTGAAAGTCACACTCTTAGAAGAAAACCTTAAAAGGTTCTAGCGCTACGTATTTGGAACCCCTAAAAGGTTCTATACACTCTTAAAAAAAGGGTTCCTCTGTTCTATATAGAACCCTGGGGTTCCATACTTGGCCAACAGAACCTGTTCCATATATGAAGCGGTGGATGGAACCATTTCTGGTTCTAAATAGAACCATTTCTTCTAAGAGTGAGAAGCAATAGCTTTTATCTTTTGTTTAAGATCCTTTCTATTTTGTGAGAACAGGATGCAAGCAAATGAGAGTGAGAGAGGAAGAGACATAGGGAGAAAAGAGAAATAAAGAAGGAGGAGAAGAGAAGAAAGGGCTGGGGGATGAAGAGAGGGCTTAGGAAAAACTCACTTTCATTCAGACAGACAGACTTTAAACCGCTAGCCAGGCTTGTGCCAAAATGACGCATGCAGGACTAAAGGAGAGCTCACGTCCCCATTCAGAGCGTTCTCTGTAAAAATGAATCTAATCAATATAATTGTGGAAACAGATTGCAAGCAATATTATTAATTAAATTTAACAAATTAGAATTGAGTAAAAATTAATCAAATTATTCCTTAAAAGTTAACCATTTAAAACGAGTAAAGTTTACACCAAAAAATGCAACAAAAATATCTCACTAACAGACAGACGTCAAAGATTAATTGAGAACTCTTTATTTTTGGCAGCATTGAAGACACCTGATGTTAACAAGCAGAATCCTTTTAAAACAAACACCGATCACCATAATGGTGACTTCAATTTATGATTTATTGGTTGTTGCTTTACTCATTTTAAATGGTTAACTTTTAAGGAATTAATTTGATTAATTATTACTCAATTCTAATTTGTTAAATTTATTTAATAATATTGCTTGTAATCTGTTGCCACAAGTTTTTTGTTCAGATAAAGCATATTCATTTTTACAGTGAGTGCTAAAATGAAAACATCACAATAGCAAGGTTCTCAGTGAAGGAAAGCTGTGAGTTAGTGATTTAAGCAATTGTTTTCTGGGTCATTTACTCATACTTTGCTTATTAAGCAATGTGCCTGATATTCAATACAAGCAAATTTGATGTACAGGCTAGATAAGTTATAGGCCCTCTCTGTGAAAGAGAATGTCACCTTATGATTACATCACTGCGCTAAGGCATTATTTACAATCGTTCAACGGTCCAAAATAATCCCACTCTAATTTTCATTGTCAACATAACATAATCTGATTTTCCTAATGCTGAGACACCTATTAATGAGCCTCGCGCACGTGCTCCTTGCTTTGCTACAACCTTTGATTGACAGCCGGGCGGCAGCACGCAGGCGCGGTGAGCGCTCCCGCAGACAGGGGGCGTCATGGCGTCCTGAGAAAGACAACACAGCCCGACACCGCACCGATCTTCGGCTGACATCGGGATTCGGGAGGAGAGAGGGGCAGTTTCGCCAAACATTAGACGTGATTTCGTTCTGCGCATCCCTCTGAACGGGTTTGGATGTGCACATCTCTCGGAGGGGGAGGAGGAGGAGGACAGCCTTGTGACACCCGATCGAGAATTTTCCTTTTTCATCTGTATTTGATGCTGCTGCTCAGTGCTCGGTGATACAAAAGCAGGTGAGACCGAGGCGACCGCTCCTTTTTGGGATACTGGTCGGAAATGTCGAGCGAGAAACCGGTTTTAGCACCGGGTTCCGCCTCGCTCACGGACCGAGAAGCCCCCCACCACTAGCACCACCGGGCTCGGGGCAGCAAGTCGTAACGGGCTCCGTTACTGGGGACATGATGGTGTCTGGATCGGGCGCCGTGGTTCTACCGGCCGGGGTGATAAACCCTTCGGTTCCGATCCGGAATATCAAGATGAAATTCGCCGTGCTCATCGGTTTGATCCAGGTCGGGGAGGTTAGCAACAGAGATATCGTGGAGACAGTTTTAAATCTGGTAAGCCTACAGTCTGTTGAACGCATGTTTTATTTAGCGCGCATGGTGTTTATAAAGATGATGTCATATGAGAATTGATTTCTTGATCAAATGCACTAAAGCCAGAAATATTCCCCGGAGGAATGTCACCCTGCATTTTGTTGACATCCCATTCAGATTCATAACCACCAGTTTTGCTTTAGGGTGACCAAATATCGTGCACATAACGTCATAATTCATTTTCCCTGCGTACTATCACAGAGTGATCGCTGCGTTTGTTTGGTGTGCAAAATTGACAGTGTATCAACACGCCGGCCTGCAACAATGACTCGCCAAATGCATTTTTTTCGTGCAATTGACAGCCTGTCAGATTAATAATCCTCTCGCCTAGACGATTTTTTAACACATGCGTATGTTATCAAACGAATATGGGTTCAGTTTTTATGTGTAAATATGACTGGTGGGTAGATGTTACGCGACGCAGGAATTCATGGATTAGTTCTCATAGATGTATACAGCAGTGTGGGTGTAATTAATATTCAGGGCGCGTTAACCTGTCGTCTGTGATGCTCGTTATTTTTAAGCTGTGATAGTGTGCTGTGTTTGGCACCTGTTATATCCTCATGTGTCTGGCTATATGTTCGATATGGCTGCTGTTTTTGCTCGTGGAGGCCACAGGCTGGTAAGCGAGGTGGATTAAAGCGGGCTTTGACTGAATTCTTGTTATGAAACGGCTTAGAAAACGCATTAACACAGATTCAGTAATGCCTGCTGCATGGGATGCTGGGAGCATCTTTGTTTTGAAGGAAGGGATGGAGATTTCGTTACCGACGTCCTTATCAATAGATACAATTGGCCGATCGAGCTAGGCCTTCTTAAAGTTGTATGAAACGTTTTACATGTTAGCCTACAACGTTGCAGTTTTTTTTAAAAAGTCAAACAAATCAGACCTCAGATAAAAAAGAGTAGTTTAATATAATGTGCTTTACAACAAACCAAGAAACGCAGTGAACGTTATTTGTCAACGTTTTTATTTTCTTAAAACCAGCGGTTTATAAACTGGCCTAGTTCAACGTTACAAATGACAAACATTTCACCTAGGTAAATTGCTAGTTCATATTTATGAATGGAAGATGTTTTAATGGGTTAAAACCATTTGAGCGGCGCGCAGAGAGTTTGATAGGACAGGTTTTCTGAGGCAAGACACTTTTACCTCAGGACAAATCATATTCACTTCTAAAAAGTTTGGAAAATACATAATGAGAGTTGGTAATAGTTTAGCTACGAATATAGGCCCATATTATAGCTAGTATGCTATTGCTATCATTTCCTAAAACGGCCCGCTTAACAATGTTTCTGCAACGTTGTGAAAACGGATAATCGCGTTATCCATCTCGATATCTGTTTAAAAACGTTATCGAAACCATTCTACGACTTAGCAAAACGGCTTGCTGTGTAATTATATACACTATATAGACCATAAGCGTTCAATTTATAGTCACAATTGGTGTTTACTCTTTAATAGGAGGCGTCGGGTCGTTAATTTAGAGTGCTGGATGTTTAGAAACATGTCTGTGGTGATTCCAGTGAGGGGATGCCGCAGCAGTTGCTCTATGCGCAGGGATGCAGAGTTCCTGTAGCCGTGCATGTGGAAGCAGGTGGAGGAGGAGGAGGGTGAGGAGGAGGAGGGTGGGGGTTGCTGCAGTGGTGATGTGCTCTGAAACCCCGAGCCAACGCGATTTAAACCGAAGAGAGAAGCGCAGCTCCACAGAGGCGGTTCAATGAGCTACTGGCGGGCCATGTGACTCCACAGAGTTCACTGTTCCACATCGGTATATGAAATTATACCAACGTACTTCCTATGTATGTAACGTTTTAAATAAGAAGTCACTTGCGATCCTGTCATCTCTTAGCCCTTCTATTGTTTTTTGACCAAACTATATAGCCTAGTAGTTTTTTTGTAATGAGAACCTTTGTAGACTCTGTAACATTGTCAAGGACACCTTAACAAGTGCAACTAGCACATTTTCAGTGCAATATGAAATGTTTTTTTATTTATAATCTATGATCTTTTTTGGATCATTAATTGGAACAAATTCTAACGTTTAACAATTGGCCATTTGGCAGCTGTAGACAGTTTTTAAAAAATAAAATTAAATCTGTTAATAAATTGGAACGGACCTATTAATCATATTTGAAATGATGTGCATTGTGGGTCAATCTGCTTCCTTCCCAATTCGTAACAATTAGTACGATTTTTGCTATATTGTTCATATTTTACGTATTGGCCAATTCGTATGAATTCGTACGAATGACCTACCCCTGACCCCTAAAACTACCCATCACGTGGGTTTAGACAAATCGTACGAATTTGTACGAGTTAACCACTTTTTAATCTTTCGTACGAATTGGTCCTGAGATAGCGTTGGAAATGCACATTAATACCATCCAGTTACTATTGTATTATTGCAAGTCACCACAATCCATCAGTCATTAATAGAAGTGTTTTCGACTAAAGAAAAATGAAAATGAAAAAAGAAAACATGTTTTAATGAATTTTATTCTTGCAATAGTAACAATAACTGTAGCAATTATGGTATTTTGGCAGAAATTATGGTTTCCATTGTTTTTTAATGCTGGTCAAAGAACGTAGCCGTAACATAGGGAAAGAGAGAAGCATTGCATATAGTGTTTGGCACAATGCCGATACACAACTGTAGGTGGGGTAGACCTTATGTATTATTCAGCTTTGTCTGAAACCGCTGCTTCTGCCTGAGTACAGCCGGTATTGATGGATGGTAAATGCCATTTAGCAGAGCAGATGTACCGATCACCTTAATTAATTGGCGATTCCGCAGGGCTTGGGTGAAATCTATGCGTTTCAGGGAAAAAAGATACACCGGTTGGTTGTTCTACTTTTGAAGGTGTTTGGTTGTTTGGTTGTTTGGTTGTTCTACTTTTGAAGGTGTTGTGAAGAAATTTGAATATGATGGGGCTTGTCTTTTGCCAGTTCATGGCAGCTTCTGAGGGCTGAGGGCGTTTTATTTTCTCCACTGTTTCCCTGCTTGCAATTGAAATTCAGACCAGAGAACACATGTTGTTGAAGCACTGCTGTTAGACCCTGAATGTAATTAGACTCGTCCTCAACCTCGTGGCCTTACAGTGGTATGCCAGACATCCCTGCCACCCAGCTTCTGAACAAATGACACACGCAGGAGGTGTTGAGAGGGCTTGATCTGGCGGAGGGATGAACGGGTGTCCTGTGGCCCTCTTCATGAGGGCAGTTCCTTACAACATGCAATGCAAATGTTCTATAAAACACGCATGCGAGAAGCCTAGCTGCCAGATCTATTTCTGTAATCCTACCTCTTGTCTATTTTCAAATCATTTCTGTTTATGTGTGGAGGGCCACGGTGTCTTTTATTTAGCGTGGATCACAGGAAGACTTCCCTGACTGTATGCAGGGCTCACAGCTCCCTCCCTGTGGATCTGACATAGTTACTATTGTAGTCGTAGCTGCAGTCTTGCTGAGTTCACCCTCAGATAAATCAGGAAACGGGCTTCGTCTTTTTAGCCGCTGTACTGTATTACATTAATCCTGTACTGGAAATATGTAGGCTGCAATTATAATATTAGTGGCAATTTGTGTGCGTGGCGAGGGAGATGTAATGTTGTTCATGATGCAGTAATTTTATTTTGCCTTTCTTTAATGCGTGGTCGTCCTTTACCTCCCGCCATTCACTTTCTTCTGTGAGAGGCACACTGAGCCAATCTGCTCACTGTCTCTCGTCCCCCCCCCTCTCTCTCTTTTCTCTACCCACACGTAACGCGCACACACATGCACAGACTGCCACCGAGGGCCTGACGTTTAGACTCCCCTGCCATTAGCAAAGCATCATAGTTGCCATGGAAACGGCACCATGGGATTGTGCTGCTTTCTTCCCACCATACCAACTGTTGTCATCTCTTCCCGGCCAACTGGATCAGCTCTGCGATCTGGACAGGAGGATATTTGACACTAAATCCACTGTCGTGTAAAAGTAGTAAACATTTTAAACCAAGTAAACAAGTTTGTTAGATTTCACCTTAAAAACGTATTCTAATCAGTGTCAAGCATTTTGTCTGTCCACAATGGAAATGAAAATGCAAACCAATTGGAACATATCTTTAGTTTAAAATACAGTTACACTTCCATTCAGAAGTTTAGGGTTGGTTAAATATTTATATATTTTGTTAAAGGTGCATTGCGCAACATTTCATGTTAAATAAAGACGTTTTTCTATTCTAACCCATACATGCTTAAACAATCGCCTGATGTGCCCTCCTCTGATCACTGCGATTGCCTCTATATTCCTGTACAGTGAAATAAATAAGAGGGATTCGGGATGGATTTGAGACTGGGCGTGACGTCATGCGCGTTCACGCTAACCTGGCGATGTCTGGCAGGTTTGTGTATTCGCCGCCATTCTCCGTATCAGCGAAGACAACTCGAGCGACACAACTTTAGTCAACTTTCACAAAAGTAGAAGATGGATTCAAAGAGACCGGCTTGTAGTTCAATCCAAACCCCAACGCAAACTCAACGTAAGACAAAGAAAATACAACTTTTGTCTAGTGCCAGGCGTCGCAATAAGACGAGAGTCGACATCGGGAAGCTTTCAACTAATGGAGAGATCTCCGGTTTGCCTTTACGGCTCAAACGGGATCAAAGTAATAACTTATAGTGTTCATGAACGTGTTTCCATAATAATACAATCATAAGTGGATACAGTAAACACATAAAACAGTTCAACATGGAGATAGATGGAAACAAAAACCCGAACGTTTTCCCCTCACACACACATAAGTGTGTAATTTACTCAAATGCCTCTCCTTATATATTTAAAATGACTTGCAGATTTGTAACTTTATTACCTCTGAAGACTTTATGACTGTAAGATTTGTGCGGCTGATGCTCCTTTGGTTATGAACAGCTCGTGTAAGCGTGTGTGTGTGGTCCTTGAGCGTGCACACCTCTGGTT